AGGTCCCCTCCCGTGTAACAACGGTGGCCGAGCCCCTCCCCGGTGCCGCGGGCGCTGTTTGCTGACACCCGGTGGTGGCACCGCGGTGACACCGGGACCGGGCGGGACCGGGAGGGCGGGGACAGCTCGGACCCCCCTCCCTCAACCCCTCCCGGTGCCCCGGCAAAGCCAAATCCGCTCCTCCAAATTTTTATTGCTGCAATAAATAACCCACGGCGGGACCGCGCACGGCGGAGCTTTCGGGGATTTTTTGGGGGAAAAAAAGCGGTTTTTACCCGAGGGGGAGCTCCGGGGGGATGGAACCGCGGGATTTCTGCGAACGGGGCGGAATTCCCATCCCGAACTTCAATCCCAAATCCCCCTAACAAAGGGATCTGCCCGGCCCGGACCCCACCCCGCTCGGTAAAACCGGGCCGGGGGTCCCGGGGGTTGTGGGGAGGGCACAAAGCGGGGTTGAGGAGCGGGAGGGGCATCCAGAAATCCGCTATTTGGTGAATTTAACGCTGTGCTCCTGCTGGCGGATGATCTGCGCGATTGGGCTGGCGATGCCGCCTATCAAGGTCCAGTACTCGTCGAAGCTGATGCGRCCGTCTTTATTCTCGTCCAAATCGCAGATGAGTTTATCGGCGGCGCGGCGGTTCCCGGTGTCCTGCGGGGAGAACGGGGACATTTCGGGGCGGGTTYGGGGATGGGGACAACCCCCGGTAGGTGACAGCCACCCCCCGGTCCCCGCTCACCGTCAGCATGTGGTTGAGCTCCCGGCTGAGCATTTTACGGAAATCCTTCTTGCTGATGCGCCGCGGGTTYTTGCAGCAGCAGCAGCGGCTCGAATATTTGTCAAAATTGTTCACCAGCACCTGCACGGCCCATTCGAGCTCCGTGCACTCGGACATCGCCGCCTGAGGGGAGGGAAATCTCAGCTCGGAGCCATCGCGGGGGGCTCGGATGGAACCCCCTCCCCACGGAGGGTGAAACGCGGTCCGGGTGAAAGGGAAACGCGCGGTGAGGGATTTCAGCGCATCGCTGCCGCGACGGTCACAGTAAAATCTCTCCGGACCCAAAACTGTGTGGTTTCACCCCCACAGAGTCACCCGAAAACCTCGCCAGACCCAAAACTGTGCGGTTTTGCCCCGACAGAGTCACTCCCAAAACCTCTCCGGCCCCAAACTGTGCAGAAGCACCCCAAAACTTCACCAGCCCCAAAATACCACGGCGGCCGCCATTGTAGAACCACCCCAAAACCTCTCCAACCCCAAAACTCGGCGGTGCCGCCCCTACAGAACCACCCCAAATCCTCTTCAATCCCAAAACTCGGTGGTGCCGCCCCTACAGAGTCACTCCCAAAACCTCCCCAGCCCCAAAACTCGGCGGTTCCACCCTCGGCCGTCGTTATAGAACCACCCCAAAACCTCTCCAACCCCAAAATTCCACAGCGGCCGCCATTGTAGAACCGCCCCAAATCCTCTCCAACCCCAAAACTCCATGGTGCCACCTCTACAGAGTCACCCCCAAAACCTCTCCAACCCCAAAACTCGGCGGTGCCGCCCCTACAGAACCACCCCAAATCCTCTCCAACCCCAAAATTCCACAGCGGCCGCCATTGTAGAACCACCCCAAAATTCATCCAACCCCAAAACTCGGCGGTTCCACCCCTACAGAACCACCCCAAAATTTATCCAACCCCAAATCCCCCCGGTGCCGCCGCCCCCGCGCCTGGGTCGGTTCGGTAATTCCGTTCCCGGTGCCGCGGGGCAGAGCAGCTCCCGGGCCCGCAGCTCCGGTTCCCAGAGCTCATTAGGGAGGAATTGGGGACAGGAATTACCGGCCGTGCCTCCTCCTGCTGCTGTTGCTTCACGGCTCCGGGAACAGGTCCCGGCGTGCCGAGCCCTCCCCGCCCCGATCCCGGTGTCCCGGTGTCCCGGTGCCGCCCGTTCCCTGTCCCCGGTGCCGGTCCCGGTGTCCCGGTGCCGCCCGTTCCCTGTCCCCGGTGCCGGTCCCGGTGCCGCCCGTTCCCTGTCCCCGGTACCGGTCCCGGTGCCGCCCGTTCCCTGTCCCCGGTGCCGGTCCCGGTGCCGCCCGTTCCCTGTCCCCGGTGCCGGTCCCGGTGTCCCGGTGCCGCCCGTTCCCCGTCCCCGGTGCCGGTCCCGGTGTCCCGGTGTCCCGGTGCCGCCCGTTCCCTGTCCCCGGTGCCGGTCCCGGTG